GGGGGGCAATGCAAGATGACTTGGAAAATGGGGGCAGTTTTCCCTGGGGAGCAGAGAGAGTAGGTACAAGGGGGTAGTTTTTCATTGAAAACTTTTTGTGCCATTGAAGTTTTTGTTTCAATTATTTAAACCATGAACACAGAATGCCTCTTTAAAACGTGGTTCTCAGGCTTCCCTGGTGGCGCCGTGGTTGAGAGTCCACCTGCTGATGCAGGGGACACGGGTTTGTGCCCCGGTCTGGGAAGATCCCACATGCCGCGGAGCGGCTGGGCCCGTGAGCCGTGGCCACTGAGCCTGTGCGTCCGGAGACTGTGCTCCGCCACGGGAGAGGCCACAACAGTGAGAGGCCCGTGTACCGCAAAAAAATAAAAAACGTGGTTCTCAAAGTGTGGTCCCAGCCCAGCAGCATCTGTATCCCCTGGGAACTTGCTAGAAATGCAGATTTCCAGGCTTTACCTGAAAGCTACCAAATACAAAATTCTGGGGTGGGACCCAGCAATCCAACCCCTCCAGGTAATTCCGATACATGCTAAAATTTTAGAACTACTGATTAAAAAACTACCAAAGTGGGCTTCCCTGGTGGTTCAGTGGTTAAGAATCTCCTTCCAATGCAGGGGACACAGGTTCGAGGCCTGGTCTGGGAAGATCCCACATGCTGCGGAGCAACTAAGTCTGTGCACCACAACTACTGAGCCTGCACTCTAGAGTCCGTGAGCCACAACTACTGAGCCCGCGTTTCACAACTACTGAAGCCCACGCGCCTAGAGCCCGTGCTCCCAACAAGAGAAGCCACTGCAATGGGAATCCTGCGCACCGCAACGAAGAGTAGCCCCCACTCGCCATGACTAGAGAAAGCCTGCGCACAGCAACGAAGACCCAACGCAGGCAAAAATAAATAAAGTAAATAAATTTATTTAAAAAACACACAAACAAAGAAAACTACCAAAACAGTGCTTGCTTCCTGGGGATCACACTCTGCGGGGAGGAGACTCTTGTGGGCATCCTTCTCTATAGCAATGAGAGCCTCTGAATAGGAGGGCTCAGCATGAAGGGGGGGCCCAACTTGGAAGGGGCCCTTGGGAGGCTGACCTAAGAAATGAGGTTTAAGTGAGATCTAAAGGGCAGGTGGGGCTTGGCCAGGTGAGGGGGTGAAGAGGAGTGTCCCCCAGAAGGAACAGCCCACGTGAGGGCTGAGGTGGCAGGGATGGAGGCCATAGGGCTGGAGCGCAAAGTGCTGGGCCCAGTACCTCTGTGCTTGGGTGTCATGAATGACCATCTACCAGTGTGCATGGATATTCCATTAACAGGTATCCTCTTCATGGAAATCCAGAGCCTCTCCTGGTCCTCGGAATGGCTGGGCCACCAGGGCTCTGGGAATGATCCTTGCAGTGGGATAGGCACCTGGTCCCAAGTACCAACTCTCCCATTTGCCCCCATGTAACCTTGGGCCAGTCACTTCCTCCTGAGCCTCAGTGTCCTCATCTGGGCAATGGGGACAAGAATGCCTTCCTGGGAAGGGCTGCCACGAAGAGGGCATGAGATCATGGCAACCCAGGCCTGGGGGCCATTCCCTCTTAATCCCCATGCAACAACCATTTTTGACTGAACATTTACAACCACTCCCCAAGGCACGTTGTCATTCCTGTGTTTCAGGCTCAGAGAGGGTAACTTCAGTCACAGCAACACACACACACTGTGGCCAGCTTGCCCCTCCCTCCCAGGCGCTGATTCCCTCCCAGCAGCCTCTTGCCCCTTGGCTCTGGCTTCTGACATCTGAGTGGCTGTCTATCTGTTGCTCCCACCAGAGCCTTAAGTGACACAAGCAGCCAGCAAGTGGTAGAGTCCGGAGGTGACCCAGTGCTTTTCGGAAAGGCTCCTGAGGCAGGTGTCACTAGCTAGGAAGCTGCTCAGAACCCAGGCAGACCAAGGGGGTCAGGCTCCACATGCTGCCATGATGCCCAGAGCAGGCTTGGGGGAGGGGAGATGGAGCAGCAAAGCTTGCACGGGGGAATTAGTAGCATCTGTCTTATTCTGACATGGGCTGTGAGGAATGTGGAAAGGCCCCAGTAAGCACGTGCCTGCCAGGGATGCTAGCAGGGAGGGGGCACAGGGTGGGCAGCTGAGCCCCTCTTGGACCCCAGGATCTACCAGGCGGCAGCTGCTCCTGTCACTCTGATGAATCTCCCATGTATACAGGACCTGCCGGGAACCTGGGGTGGGGAGAGCAACTCATCTCCTTCCTTAGACCCTAACCCTTGTGACCCTGTGCCCATCACATCCTGTTTCTCTACCGTTAAATTGGGGATACAAATCTTTATCTGGCGAGGCTGTGGTGAGGGAGAGTGGTGGGTGGCTGAGCCTGGCACAGCAGTGGGCTCACAGTGGGAAAGTGGAAAGTGGGGGTTCTCATTTGTCACCCTCTTGTCCTTACACACTGCTCTAGCCTCCCAACCCTTTTCCTCCCCAGGCAGGCTGTGAGGGATCTGCCTCTCCTGTGATGGGCTAGGCTGGTGAAGAACACAGTCACTGGCCAGTGACCCCAGTGGGGACTGGGGCTAGTCAGAAAGTTTGGGGGACTCCAGGGAGCCAGAGGGGGTTCTTGAGTGCAGGGGGAGCATAAGCCAAGAGCTGCTTTTGGAAGCTGCCTGTAGAGCCACCTGCAAGGGAACGGGAGGGAAGGGGATGGAGGAGACCTTGGGCGGGGAGGGGGACACTCAGGGCCACCGCAGAGGCCAAGCACCTGTTTGTTTTTTTAAATTAACTAATTAATTTAATTAATTTATTTTTGGCTGTGTTGGGTCTCCGTTGCAGTGCGCGGGCTTCTCATTGCGGTGGCTTCTCTTGTTGCAGAGCATGGGCTCTAGGCACACGGGCTTCAGTAGTTGTGGCACACGGGCTTAGCTGCTCCGCGGCATGTGGGATCTTCCTGGAACAGGGCTCAGACCCGTGTCCCCCTGCATTGGCAGGCGGATTTGTAACCACTGCATCACCAGGGAAGCCCCAAGCACCTGTTCTTAGCGAAACACTTGGCATGACCCATGTGAACTCTTCAGGGCATCCTTCCCCAAGCATGTGCTCATCCAAGACCTGTTTCATCCTAAACCCTAAGCCCTGGGAGGTAGGCAAGGCAGGAGCACCCCATTCATATAGGCAAAGAAAGTGACAATCAAAGAAGTGAGAGCACTGGCCTCAGGACACTGGAAGTGGCAGGCTTTGAACTTCCTGGCTCCAAGTCCAGTGTTCTCTCCATCCATTAGGGAACAGGGCTCCTAAAGGAAAGGTAGTGGTCAGGGATGACTCCCTGGGTTTAGGCCTGGTTCTTCCTCTGAGATGGGGCGTCCTGGAGGAGGTACAGTTTTGGGGGGAAAAAGAGTAGTTCAATTTGGGACATGGTGAAGCAAAGAGGGCACAATGGGTGTGTCAGGAGACCTGGAGTAGGAAGAGAAGCATGGCCATGAGCTGCTGCTCAGTCTTCCAGGATGGCCCCAGTCCCAAATCCTTATATCCAGTCCCTTCTGACCCTGTATGTAGTTTCAGCCACCACCCCCTGGGAAGCCATGGGTGCAATCCAGGCAGCTTCCACAAATGATGTGTCCTGGATGGGCACCCCTGTTCCAGCAGGGCAGGGCAGAAGAGAGCACCAGGCACTGGGTCTGGTACCTCCTCCTTGTGATTCAGGGGCTGAAGAGCAGCAGTAACCACTGGGATGGAGCTGGAGAAGGTTCCAGGCTCAGAGCCCTGGGAAGCTGATCCCTCCACCCCCCAGAGGGTGTTTGAGAACAGGGCCATGATGGCCTCCCCAGGCGAGGACCAGGCAGGCAGAGACAGCTGCAGCCCAGCCAGGCGGCAACCAGCTGTTGCCTGGGAGACTGGCCAGGGTGGGGCGGGGCGGGCACAGCCCCCACAAGCCCCCAGCCTGAGCCGCAGAGCGTGGGAGCGGGCAGCAGCCTCGAAGCTGAGTTTCAGGCTTTCACGCTGTGTTAACGGTCAGCTTGGTTAATGCTGAGCAGATGGGGGAGGGGTGCTGCCAGCTCCCTTGGGGACAGTCCCAGGGTACGCACACACATACGCATATGCAGAGGGTATAGGAGTCCTGCCAAGTGGATGGTACCGTGTGGACTCCTCTGCCCGTTAGCACTCGTTCACACTATCACATATCCAAGATGGTGCTGGTAAGACAGACAAAGACAGGTTCACACAGGCTCCTGGGTCCACCCTGATGCAGCTGGAGGTGGATGTAAACCCAGGGCTGGGCATGGAGCTCTCAGACTGTGTCACCCAGGCAAAACTTGCAGCTCGGGGATCTCTCCACCCTGTTCCCCCTCCACCCGCTGCAGGGAAGACACCAGGCAGGCACACAGTGGTTTATTGCAAAAAAAAAATAATTTATAAAAGGCCATTTGCTTCTGTGTTTTGGCAGGCTTCCAGCCTCTCAGCTAGCAAAGGGGCTAGTGCTCCTTCCAAGATGCTGGGATAAGCAGCAGAGGGGAGGCAGGGGAGGCCTGGGGACATGGGGTTCAGAGGCCCAAGACCTTTCTTGGTGTAGGGGAGTGGATAAGCAGCAGAGGGGAGGCAGGGGAGGCCTGGGGACATGGGGTTCAGAGGCCCAAGACCTTTCTTGGCGTAGGGAAGTGGGGACATTTAGGACAGCCCTACACCCAGGACCAACCAAAGCCCTGGAACAAGGACCGAGTGCCAAGGCCCAGGAGTAAAAAACAACCAAAAAAAAGCCATTAGAACACTGGGGCCATGACTCCAAGGCAAGGGCAAGGCCTTGAGACTGGGGTTGAACTCTGGCTTAAGACCCAGAGGCCAGAGAAGTAGTCTCAACTGGGGACCCCAGGACCAAAGACAGACCTCCCCAAATCAGAACCAGAGATCTGGGACAGTACCTTTAGGTCAGGGCCTGGGGGTGCCAAGGTCAAGCACCACCAGCTTGCGGCTCAGCCAGGAGGCCCAAGGCTGCTGGCTGGCCTGCCCATACAACTTCGTGCCGCTGCTCATGTCTGCACCCCAGGGAAGAAGGGGCTGGGCCCCAGGGGCAGGGAGTCGTGGCTGAAAACAGAGTCGCTGGAGGAGCAGGTGCTGCTGGCGTCCCCGCCAGCAGGGGAGTAGGGTCCAAAGGTTAGGCGGAGGTCGAGGTACTACGGGGAACAGTGTTGGTCAGCCCTGGTGGTCAGGTGGGACAAGGCCCAGAGGGCAGTGGGCACAGGGGGGTCATGGGACAATAGGGGCACAGTACCTCCTCAGAGACGGCCAGCAGGACCTTGTCCAGTGCCTCCACCAGCTGCTTGAAAGTGGGCCTCTGAGAGGGTGCTGCGTGCCAGCACTCACGCATCAGCCCGTACCTGGGAGAGGTGTGGGGGAGGGTCAGAAGGAGCCTCAGGCCTGGGTGAGCGGGGACCTCATGGCACTGGGTGGGGGGGTGTGAGGAAGGGGTAGGGTTTGATGTGGGGTCAGTGAGGCCATTCAGTGGAAGGGTGCCAGGCCAGGACCTCCCTGCTGGGTTGAGGAGGAGGTGGTGACAGTGTTAGTGCTAACCACTCTCTATGGTCAGGCCCTGAGGTCAAGATCAGGGCAGAGGGTAAGGACTGGAAAGCGGGGGAGAGTGGGGTGAGGCCTCACAGCTCTGGGGGGCAGTGTGGGGGCCGGTCCATCCGATGCCCCTCTCGTAGCAGCGAGAACAGCTCCTCCACTGGGATGCCAGGGTATGGGGAGCCCCCGAGGGTAAAGATCTCCCACAGCAGAATCCCAAATGACCACCTGGAGGCAGAACCCAGGCTCAGCAGGCACAGCTTCACTCCCTACCCCTGGGACTAGGATGGGGGACCCCACAGCTATGATCCACCACGGGGGTCAGGATTAGGGTTTCTTTTAGAGTCTAGTCCCATTCAGGTCCCAGGGCTCTGCGATCCTGGGCAAGAGCTTTGCCCTTTCTGTGATCGCCTGCAGACACCCCAGGCCCTAGCTTCTAGGACCCACACGTCACTCTGGTGTGTGTAGACTCTGTCAAACAAGGCCTCAGGTGCCATCCACTTGACAGGCAGGCGGCCCTGGAGGGGAGAAGAGGGCACATTGCTGCTAAGTCCCACAGGTCCCGGTGCCCCGCCGCTACTGAGTTCTGTCCTGCCTCCCTTACGTTGCTAGTTTTCTTGTAGTAGTCAATGTGGTGGATGCCACGGGCCAGCCCAAAGTCAGCGATCTTCATCACATTGTCCTCGGTCACCAGCACATTGCGGGCAGCCAGATCCCGGTGGATGCACTGGGGGCAGGGCAGGGGTCTTAGGTTTATGAGGACAGAGCTGGAAGCTGGGCACATAGGACCTCACAGTAACCCTCGGGGTAGGGATCATCCACCCATTTTACAGATGAGGAAGTCAAGAGTCACAGAGAGGAAACCTAAGCCAACTAACTAAAGGGCCTACACCCTCTCTCCTGCACTGCCTCTTCCTACCTGTGTGGTAGGGAGTATGTAAGGAATGGGGATATGCAGTTTCAACTGTGTACAGAAGGACTGAGGGGTTACAGAAGGACTCAGGGACACAGGCTAATGAAAAAGGGGAGGGAGAAGTTGGGGCATTTGATGCAGGGCATGAAAGTGTGGGCGTGGGGCAGTTGGAGTGGTCCAGAGAGCTGCCCGCTGCCTGTACCTTCCGCGACTCCAGGTACTGCATGCCCCGGGCCACCTGGTAGGCGCAGGAGACCAGCGCAGGGAAGGAGAGTGGCCCCTCACTGCTCCGAGGCCCGTCAGGGCTGAGGTCAGGGCCTGGGGGGCGGCGGGCCCGCAGGAACTCCCGCAGGTTTCCTTTGGCGGCACACTCCACAATCACGTACAGGGGCCCTACAGAGGCGAGGGGGGACAGGGAAGCTACTGAGGCTGTGGCTCTGCATCCCAACCGTCCCCGTCCCTAGCCCTGCCCCACCCCACCTTCCTGGGTGCAGACACCCAGCAGGTTGATAATGTTCTTGTGTCGGCCAATCAGCTTCATCACCTCCATCTCAGAGACCAGGTCTGCCAAATCCTTGTCGGAGGCATTGTCTGTAAGGATGACAGCCAGGGTGACTACATAAGCGAGACTTTGGGTTGGGGACAGGACACGGAGCCCTGGACTCAGAGTCAGGAGGAAGGTCTGGGCCTGAATTCCTGCTAGGCTGTGTGGCCTTGAAACAATCTCTTAACCTCTCTGAACCTCAGGATTATCTTGTATGAAATGGGACAATGGATTGTGCCCTACTCTCATAGCAGTTGCAAGGATGCAACAAGAACAAGGATCTGAAAGTGGTAGGCCTGGGCTTCCCTGGTGGCGCAGTGTTTGGGAATCTGCCTGCCAATGCAGGGGACACAGGTTTGAGCCCTGGTCTGGGAAGATCCCACATGCTGCGAAGCAACTAAGCCTGTGAGCCACAACTACTGAGCCTGCGCGTCTGGAGCCTGTGCTCCGCTACGGGAGAGGCCGCGACAGTGAGAGGCCCGCGCACCGCGATGAAGAGTGGCCCCCACTTGCTGCAACTGGAGAGAGCCCTCGCACAGAAACGAAGACCCAAAACAGCCAAAACTAAATAAATAAAAATAAATAAAAATAAAAAAAAGTGGTAGGCCTGCCAGTGAGTGGGACCAGGAAACAGGAGAGAGAGGGAAGAGCTCTGAACAGGAAGGAAGCTCTGTCTGGAGGGCTTGGTGTTACTCCCTGAATGGGCTGAGAACTCCTGGGGTCGGGAAGCGGGCTGGAGACCTGAGGTCTGTCTGACCAGGGCCTGGCGTCCATCTGGCCTGGGAATTCAGGGAGCTGCCAGTGGGGCGCAGACGGGGAGGCCAGGAAGACACTGCTCCAGCTTCTTTTGAGAAGGCTAAGGACCAGGGGCTGAGCCCCTGGGGCTGACCTGTGGCCCTGGGCCAATGACATACCCTCCCCACCAGACCTCACAATGCACATTTCTCAATCCCTGCCTCCCAGAAAGTGCCAGGTGGCCCCAGCTGTGCAGAGAAGAGGGGCCAGGGGGAGCAGAACAGCGGTTTAGGCTGCTCTTGAAGAGGGGGCTGGGGAACAGCAGCAAGAGGCCCCGATGGTGGGTCCCAGGTGTGCTCTGAGCCCCTTGGGGTTGCTGCCTGGGCTGTTCTCCGAGACAGTGGTGAACACAGGGGGACAGGGCCCGGGGAGGCTGAGGGTGCAATTTGTGGGGGAATTGTGGGGGAATGAGGTGGAGGCCTTCAACGCTGACAAGGTTATTTGAGGCCAAGGCTGACACGGGGTATCAAACCCATCACCCTAAATCCTTGTAGTCATCATCATCACAATGGTTAAGAATTTAGGTACCAGGCACTTCCCACAAACCTTGGGCTGGGAGGCAGGGACTATTATTTACCCCACGTGACAAGTGAGGAAACTGAAGCTCAGAAATGACTTGCCAGGGTCAGTAGCAGAGTTGGGCCCCAGGCCCATGGGTGGGATTGGGTGGCCTCTCTTGGCCCTCAGTGCTCACCCGCTAGCACTGAGAGCCCCTTCTGTTACTCCCAAGGCCACTGGATCTCCCCCAGGCTGCCACACTCACCCTTAAGCATCTTGACAGCCACAGTGCTGGCTTGGTCAGGCTGGATGGGGTCCATACCAAAGGCCTCTGCACATACCACCTGCCCGAAGCAGCCCTCGCCCAGGGGCTTTCCCAGGACCAGCCTGGAGATGAGAGAGATGAGGCCTCAGCCATCAGGGCATCATTCCTGCCCAGAGTCTGATCCCCACCCTCACTCGGCACCGCATACCTGTCCCGGGGGAACTCCCACAGTGGGTCGAGAGGTAGGTCTAGATTCACGAGGCCCGCAAGCAAGGGGGGGCCGCTGGAGGAGAGACGGACACCCCGCACCAGGGACGAGCTTGACTTGGCTGAGGAGCCTGACTCCAGGGAGAACTGCAAAGTGAGAGACTTGGTCTGTCTGCTGAAGCCAAGCTGAGGCAGGAAAGCAGGCCCAGAGCCTCACTACGGGGACACAGAGGTAGGGGACAGCATGGTTGGTACCTGTCGGGCCAGAGGGAAGCGGGACAATTTCTGCACAGTGGCAGGCTGCCGGGGGTGCCGGCCGAGGAGCACCTGCCTGCGATACAGCCCGGCCAGAAGCAGGAGCACCATCAAAGCCAGAGAGCCTGATGTGTACAGGATGATGTCCGTGTACCTGGCCTCAGGCGCTGTTGCCGACCACATGAGATCCTCCTCTGCCCACAGAGAGACATACATAGACAGAAACTGACCAGTCAGTGATCAGATGGCTGGCTCCATTCCCTCTAACTGAGGCCCTCATAGCTCCCAACATACATAGGGACACACACCAAGGAAAGTGCATTTACACCCCGTCCCACATACCGACACCCCAGAGATTCGCACGGACAGTCACATGTGAACACGCATAGAGGGACTGCTACAAGCAGAATCAAACACACAAATCCACACACCAAATCCAGACCCCACAGGCCAAGGAAGACTATCTACCCAACAGGTCACAGCCCACTGTGGAACCACAGCAGAATCCCGCAGCGTCTCCTGGCCCCCTCAGGAGCTCACCTGTCAGCACCGTGAGCCAGGCTGACTGGTAGGAAAGGCCGATGGAGTTGCCCGCCAGGCAGGTGTACTCGCCTGCATCCTCAGCAGACACATTCCGAAGGTATAGGACCTCCACCTCCGAGCTATTGATGTCTGCTGTCTGGGGAAGGGGGACACATTCAGGAGTCACAGAAGGGCCTGGAGCCACACTGTGGCCAGGAAGGGAGCTGGGGACCACTCCCTACCACCCGTGGGAGAATGGTAGAGTCAGGTGCTGGCAGGGACTGGACCTTTAAGACTTGCACATAGGGGAAGCCATCAGCACCGAAGCTGCTGCCGTTGATGACAATGTGCTTCAGCCACTGGATGTGGGGCTGGGCGTCGCTGTACACCTTGCAGAGCAGCTCCACGTCGCTGCCCACCACAGCTGTGGTGTTGGCTGGGAGCCCCGCCTGCAGGATGGGCCGGTGCGGGGACCGCTCTGGGGCGGGGCCGGGCCGTCAGCCCTGACCAGGCACCCACAGAAGCACCCTGGTCACCTGCCTCCAGCCTCACCCCCAGCTCAAGGGAGGGACCTTCCTGATACTCAGCTCAGACCTTGTTCATCCCTTCTTACACTGTTTAAACCTTCCATGGCTCCCCATTGCCTTTGGGGTCAAGGACAACTTCTCAGCCTAGCACTCAAAAACCCTCCAGGCCTGGCTCTCTGCTTAAATGCCACACTCCAGGCATACACGTCCCCACAAATGCATTGTGTTCTTTATGCCTAGGGCCTTTACTCAGCCTGTGCCCTCTGCCTGGATGTCTTTCCCATGTTTCTCCTCAGCCCAGCCCTGCTCCTCCAAGACCACATTATCCCCTGTGCTTCTCTTGGACCCACCTGGACAATTTGAGTAGCTTGAGTGAGTCATCTAAAAGTCCATCTTGCCTGCCAGACTGGGTCCCACTTGAGGGCAGGGTCAGGGCTCCCACCCTGACACCGCCTTGCCCGCCCGCCCGCCCACCCGCTCACCCAGCACGTCCAGCAGATAGCTGTAGCGGATGCTGCCCAAAGAGTTCTCCACAAGGCAGGTGTATGTGCCACGGTCCGAGGGCACCACGCTTTCCATCACCAGGCTCCAGTGCTGGTGGCGCAGCTGGGAGCAGGAGAAGTGTCCATGAGGGGCCACCGAACCATGCCCATCCAGGGGACCAGAGCATGAGGAGGCTATATTCTGCCCGCGGGGGTCTTCTCAAGCTCTCTAGGCCCCGGGGAGGCCACGCCAAGGCTAGGGACCTTGGAACAAAGGAGAAGGCCCCAAGAAGTATCTGAGCCATGAGTTCGAGTCCTTGAGTTTTAGCTCTACTTCTTCTGAGCTGTGCCACCTTAAACCAGTTTTTGCCCTCTCTGAGTCTCAGCTTCCTCTGAGACTACAGCCTGGAACTGACCCTGTAGGGTCTTATCATGAGAATGAGCTGCTAAAACATATTAATACCTGCCGGTCAGTGATCCTTCCCACTTTACACGTGGAGTTGCTAAGGTCGAGAGGTTAAGTCACTTGCCAGAGAGTGGCAGAGTGGGAACTTGAACCAGAGCTGTCCAAGTCCACAGTCTAGTGCTCCTTCTGGGGCCCTGCAGCTGCCTTTCTCAGTAGAGAAAGAACTGTGGGTTTGACTTGAGGGGACCGGTGGGGGAACCCGGAGACTCACCCGAATGCCTCCAATGCGATGCTCCCCATGGAAGTCCTGTCCATCCTTGAGCCAGCGGATGGTGGGCATGGGGTTGCCTGCAGCTGGACAGCGGAACTTGATGGTGTTCCCGGCAGGCACTGCATGCAGTTTCTTCTCCATGCGCTGGGGGTGTGTCCAGTAGGGTGCTGGTGGGGAGGGGAAGGGAGAACTCAGTGCCCTCAGGAGGACCACCTGTTTACACACAGATCTCTTCTCAGTGACCAGCTGGAAGACAGGGGAATGAGTCCTTGAGGAGTCACACTGACCTTGCTGGGGGTAAATGTGCTCATTTGAGGGGCCTCTGTGGGTCTTGGGGTCCTCATCACCATTGCTGGAGGTCATGGAGTCTATGTCAGGGACAGAGGGAGGCATTTGAGGCCCAGGACAGAGTTTCTCTCCCCAGGGACCCCTTAGCCACTGCCAGACCCCCTTACCATCCACACCCAAGGTGACATTGTGTAGGACAAGCATGGAGCCTCGTGTCAGGCACAGGTATCGGCCAGCGTCTTCGGGTAGGAAGCTGGCGATCTCCAAGCGGCCTCTCCAGCCTCGTACCCGGCCAGCAGGTGCCAGGCGACTGCCCTCCTTGTACCAGTGGCCACTGCGCTCAGCCCACCCACAGCATAACCGCACAGGCTGCCCAAGCGCCACAGTCAGCTCCTGCTCTTGCTGCTCTGGGCTGGGGGCCAGGCAGGGCTCTGTGGGCCGACGGCAGAGGTCAGTGAGCTGAGTCAGCCCCCTGCATACAGGGAACATGCTGCACACTCATGGCAGGAGCAACCCCTCGACACATGCTGGACACTGCTGCTCCTCCACATACACACAACCACATGCTGCAGACAGTATGTGCAGGGCAAATGCCACGCCTCTGGTGCATATCACACACACGGTGCGTGGCACACATGCTGGACAGGACATGCCACTGTCCCAAGAAACACACATACACACACAAGGCACATGCTACAGGTGCCACATATAGGGCACACGCCTATACCTCTGGGGCACATCACACTCACAGTGCATACACCACACATGCTGGTTGGGCCTCCCAAGCCACACACCCAGTGCACAGAACACACACACACACACACACACACACACACACACACACAGCCAAGGGGCTCACCACCAGCTCTGCGGCCCACCTCAGGGCCCTGCACCTTGCAAGGCCAGCCTCTCTTGTGGACACAGAGATAGGTGGATGCTTGCTGGGAGCCAGACACTGAGTCTCAGTGGTTGGTCCTGCCCTGCTGCCACCTCCTCTGAGCCTGGGCCAAGATCCTCTCCAGCCTTGCTCAGCCAGCAGCCCCCTCCTGATGCCCACTCTTCCCACCCCTGCCACCCTCTCCCATCTTAGAGGCCATACCCAGCTCCGCTTCCTCAGAGGCCTCAAGGGACAAAGCTGGAGCCCCAGGTGCCCCCAGCAGGACCCCCAACAGGGCCAACAGCAGCCGCATCTCCTTCCTGCTGCTCACAGGGACCCAGGCTGGGCCTCCCACTGACTGCCTTCCTGAAACAGAGAGGGCGAAGAACTCCTGCTAGACGTGCACCTTTGTTGGCGCTATGCCGCTATCTTGCAGATGAGGAAACTGAGACAAGAAATGCCGACTTGTTCAAGCCCCTGCTAGGCAGCGTCAGGGCAGAGACTAGAACCAGCTCTGCTGTTGTCAGAGCCCAAGGCCTCCCCACAGTAGGTTGTGTGGTGCGGGGCCGGGGCTGGGCTTCCTGCTCTCCTTGGGTCCTGCTGAGACCCAGGCACAAGTTCACAAAAAGGGCAGGCTTGGGATTCTTTCCTCGGAAGGAAGCAGAGAATGGAGACACGTAGTCTGCTCTCTCTCAGCACACATAATTTATTTTTTGCTGAATAAATGAATTTATTACTGAAAAAAAATCTGAAATATAATACAAGGCCAAACTTCAGCATCTGGATGTTTTCTGATCTGACCCCCGCTCCTTACAGCATTGCTGACATTTCCATGACCAGCTTTGGATACCTGCAGTGGCAGGGTGCTCACTACTAACAAGGCAGTACATTCTATGGCAAGCAAAAGTTCTTCCTTATTCTGAACCAGAATTGCATTCTGGGGCTACCTCTGTTTTTTTGTGTCCCCACAGCTCTCTCAGAGGCACACAAGCTCTTGTAAAGAATGTAGACTCCAGTGTCTGACAGAGCCAACTTCAAATCCTGACTCTTACCAACTTGCAAGTCCCTGTCCTTCTCTGGGCTGCTGTCCTCACAGGACTGCTTTGAGGAGAAAAGAGAATGTATGTAGGGCTGGGCACACAGAATGTTAGAACGTTTTCTTCCCCTTCCCCGTCCCCATGACTGTCACCCTTGTTCTGCTCTCGGCCAGCCACCTCCGCTGCGGGTGCTGTTCCTGTCAGGTGTGATGTACACTCCCACCCCATCTAGTTACCTTCCTCCAAATACCACCAACGATGTCTCCATCCTCTGAAATGAACACTCAAAACTGAGCCTCAGCTGGCAGGGGAAGAGGATGACTAGTGTAGTCCCAGGGGCTTACTGGCTGTCACCTGGGGCTGGGTAACAGTCAGGTGGCACTGGTGTCTCTGGATCCACCCTCCCCGGGAATTCCACTGCACACTCTCTCCTCAGCCACTGCCCCCCTGTCCAGCTCTGGTTCTGAGGCAGGGGACACTTAGCCTGTCCTGGCCAAAGCCATTATCTCCCCCTTTGAACTGCTTCTTCCCTGGGTTGCCCCCGCAGCTGGAGCACAACCTGCCCAATCCCTCTCTAGTCCATCTCACCTTCCCTGCCTGAACCCAGAGCACGCTATGGTCATCTCTAGCTTGGGCCTTTGCAAACGTCTCCCTGGGTTCTCCAGCAGTGTTTTAAAAATTACAAGTCTGCCATGTTCCGCCCCCCACCCCCCAACACCCACCAGCTTACAAGCCCTTAATGGCTGCCTGTGTGCAGGAGGAGCCAGTCCACACTGTTTATCCAGCATCCAAGGCCTCCCTCCCTGCCTTTGTCAATCTCATTGGCTGCACAGTCAGCTTCTTCAGCGCTGGGAAGCCATTGGCTTTCCAAACCGGTCATGTCTTCTCTCTTGCCCATATCTCTCTGCCCCCACTTCTCCAGCTGGTTCAGATGCCACTGTCTCTGTGCCCACCCCCGGTTTCCATTGCCCCGTCTCTGTGAAATCCCCTCACTCTGCTCTGCTCTGCAGGGAGGGCAGCTCTCTGGGTTGGGAGTGTAGTGAGAGGCCCAGGGATTTTCTTCCCACCCCCAGGCTACCCTGACCTCAGAACCTTAGTCGGGTCACCTGCCCGCAGCTGACCGACTGACTGCCCTGCACGTGGGGTCGAAGGGCCTGACTCTGGCATCAAGTAGTTCTGTGTTCTCCAGCCTCTCGCACTCAAGCGCTTGGGGAGCCTGGGCAAATGACTGCACCTCTCGGAGCCTCAACTTCCTCATCTCTATTCAGGGCGCGCAGACGGTCCAGCAGCAGAGGGACCAGCGCGCTCTTCCTCCTCCACCCCTACCCGGCCACCTTGAGGGGAAGTGCCTGTCAGCGGGTCCTGAAGGGAGCTGCAGGGACAGCTGGCCCGCCCCCGCCCCGGTGGGCAATGAGTAACCAGCTCCGCGGCCAGGGTGCTCTTTGGACGGAGCGGGACAAAAGGCCCTGTGTGCGCTGCGGGTTACTGATTTACCGTCCCCTTCACCCCCTCGCCGAGCGGACGCCCAGGTTCCCAGTGCTGGGAGGGGTCAGCTCCCGGAACCCCGCCGCCGCTCGCCCCCTGGCGGCTGGGAGCGCAGCCTGGGCCTGCACAGGGTCCCGGCTCACCTCGAACCTCTAGATGGCCCCGCTCCCGGCACAAGGTTCCGACTCACCTGGGTCCTCCGTGGCCCCGGTCCCAGCTCCCGCCAGCCCCTACCCCCGCGCCCAGGGAGACCGAAGACTCCGCTCTGGAGCTGCTCAGCTCCCGGCCTGAGAGCGAGGAATGCACCCGCGACAGCGGCGTGGCCGCGGGCGGCCCAACGCCCCGCCCACCTCGGGTTTCACCTACTTCGGGCCCCGCCCCTCCTGGACCAGCTCTATCCTGACAGCTGCTTGGCCTGCAAAGGCCCAGCGCCCCGCCCATCTCTGGTCCCGCCTGGCCTAGACCAGCTCCTGACTGCGGGTGGCACAGCGTCTCGCTCACCTTGAGGCCACTCCTCAAACCCAAATGCGCCCAGCACCCTAGGAGGCCAGCCCAATCCTGGCTGGCACACCCCTTCAGACTCCGCCTCTTTTGCCCCACCCAGGCCTGGCTTCCAAGTTCTAGTCCATCGCTCCATCCCCTGCTCTTCACCTCCCAGGGAACAAGACCCAGCAGTCCAGAGCTGCCACCTCCGCAGACCTTGGCTTAACCTGGCTCCTCTGTCTTCTGCGCAATCGTCATACAGACCACCCCCTCTGCCCCCACCCCCATCCGTTTTCCGCACAACCTTCAGAGTGATATTTAAAATACAAATCTGACTGTACCGACCACAACAATCTCTTTAAAACTTCCCAATAGTTTCCTATAGAGATTCTTAGCATGACCTGGCCCCGCCCACGCCTCCAGATGAAGCCTTCATTCACTTCTTCCTTGCTCCCACCCTACCTCTGGGCCTTGCACATGTGGTTCCGCTTCCTGGGATGAGCTTTCCGCTCTAGGTCTGGTTAGTTCCACCTCATTCTTAGGTCTCAGCTCATGTCCCCAGAGAAGCCCTCTTAACTTGCCAGTTCCTCTTCCACGTCTTCTCTCCTGTGAGCATGGGGAAAGAAGCAGAAAGTGAAGTGATTCAGATCACTAATTGCAGGACTCAAATCTCAGCACCATCACACGTGGCCTTGTCAAGTTACTCCATCCCCGTGTCTTCATTTTCTCATCAGTAAAACAGGTATAATGATAGTATCATCCTCAAGAAGTGGTTGCAAAAAGTGGACATGTTCTCCTCACACGCTGTTGGTGAGAATGTAAATTGGTGCAGCCACTGTGGAAAACAGTATGGAGATTTCTCAAAAAACTAAAAATAGAACTACCATATGACCCAGCAATTCTACTCCTGGGTGTATATGGAAAAAAATGAAAATACTAATTTGAAAAGGTACATGCACCCCAATGTTCATAGCAGCATTATTTACAATTGCCAAGATATGGAAGCAACCTAAGCATTGTCCATCAACAGATGAATGGATAAAAAAGATGTGGCATATATATATATTCGATTGTATAGCAACTATACCTCAATAAAAAGAAAAAAAAAAGTAGACATGTTCTTATGTGTAAGCCTTTAGAACACTACCTGACATATAGCACTTGCTTTGTAATGTTAGCTGTGATTATTTAGGACTTGTTAATTCCTCATCACATGTTCCAAAATTGTAACTAAACAGTTAATTCTGTAAATAGAAGGCAGGAACTGCCTGCAGGCCATACCATTATATCTCAAGTGCCTGGTACACAATAGGTGCACCCAGAGTAGCTCTACCACGCTCCTCTAGGCTCAGGTCTGCCTCACCTGCACCCACATTTCTGCTGAGCATGTCCTAGGTTAGCCGACCCTTGACCTCTACCCAACCCTCAGTAAGTCCAAGCCCCGTGCTCCTCTGAAGGCTTCTGGAGGAGAAAGGAAACACTTCAACTGGGGTCTCTTGCACGCCTCCTGGTCAGTGCTCTGGCTGGTGGAGACACTGCCCTAGGGGAAGCAGCTTTCTTTCCCTTTGTTATGCGGAGAAGTCTAGCTCTCTCTGCCCTTACTCCCAATAAGATAGAGGCTTTTCCTTTGCATAACTAAAAGGCCCATTAAAGTTATATTTTTCCTTTTCCTTCTCAAACAAAAGAATGGTCTCCTCCCAAAGATAAATCAGAAAATAGTTGGTTATCTTTTTATTTTATTTTATTTTATTTATTTTTTTGTGGTACGCGGGCTTCTCACTGTTGTGGCCTCTCACGTTGCGGAGCACAGGCTCCAGACGCGCAGACTCAGCGGCCATGGCTCACAGGCCCAGCCGCTCCGTGGCATGTGGGATCTTCCGGACCGGGGCATGAACCCGTGTCCCCTGCATCGGTAGGCGGACTCTCAACCACTGCGCCACCAGGGAAGCCCTATTTTTTATTTTATTTTATTTATTTTTATTTTATATTGGAACATAGTTGATTAACAAAGTTGTGTTAGTTTCAAGTGTACAGCAAAGTGACTCAGTTATACATATACATGTATCGATTCTTTTTCAAATTGTTTTCCCATTTAGATTATTACAGAATACTGAGCAGAGTTCCAAGAAAATAGTTTGTTATCTTTTAAAAAATGTCCTGATTCCCCTCCTTCCTTACTGGAGCACCCTGGAAAGATGAGGCTCCTGGCACTGGGGATGCCCAGCAAGTGGGAGCCTCCTGCCCAGAGAGGGCCTCACCAGACCTCCCAGACTCCTAGAGAGACTCAGCTCCCCACCGCTGGTCCTCT